AGTATTGGTACAGATCTGGATCACTTTATTTAAAACTGCAAAACAGGGCCATGGCTGTGCTCTTTGTGTACCCCTCTAACTACTTTAAAAAGTAACAGTATTTCACACAGTGATGGTTAAACTTTACTATTAATTTGGGGTTTACATGCCTGATGAAAGGGTGGATGTGGATCTGTATGGCTCATAGATCAACTATGGTCTTTTTGCTCTGAATTCTATCAGTTTTTTTTTTCTCTCTGGTCAGAGTGAAAGCAAAGAACTTGAAGGAAAGGGGCACATGTGGCAGAGGCAGCCACATGACAATCAACAGTTTATTAAATTCCAAACAAGCCAAATAAACAAAAACATAACGAGATGACAGGGGAACGTGGTGGGAATTTCTAAAGAAAGTAGGAAACGATCGCAAAAACACAAGATTACTGAGGAAAGGGGAAGATTTGCCACTTAGGGAGAAGTTTGTCACGATGGCTCGTCAGTCAGGGAAAAACCACAGGATGTTACAAGGAAGACAGCTGACTCTTATGAAACTGAGATTTTGCTCTTGTGGGATACTGTATGCGCAAACATTTTTTCACCACTTATCAGACTTTCATTGCTACTGTCACTGGATTTGGGGCTAAAACATTACTCTGTATGCTAATAGGATGTGTAACCCCATTAGAATTAATATAGTTAATTGTTGTTTTCTTACATTTAAGATTTTAAACTCAGCTGAGATCTTAAAAATATACAAATCTGCAAAAAATATTTCATCTCATGTCTCAACATTTTACATTCCAAAATACACACGGGATATAAATATGAGCAGCACTCAGGAGGGAAAACAAGATGAAGAAAGTGTGAAAGCAGATCTAGAGATGTGACACAGCATCTACAGAAGAGCTAATTTTTCCCAAAATACACCTATTGTGTCCAAATATAGAACAAAGCCCCACAGGGAATGAGCCAGAATAGACCTGAACCATCACTGACAGGCAGCCAGATCTAAGATTCATCAAGCAAACGCTGCACAGCTCCCACATGCACACAGACACCCTGCAGGCCACGTGATCAGCAGTGGACAAATAGTGCCGTTAATGCGGATACACACCTCTTCTCCTTGCTCTGTCACACTCACAGTCTGTCAGGTAATATTGCCAACTTTTATTGAACCACCCCTTAAGTCAATAAGGATGTAGTAGTAATACTCTTTTTTTTTCCTCACATGTACTTTGGTCTCCAATGGAGGCCCACAGGGAACATTTAACTGCAGCTCTATACCCTGAATGAGTCATTTTCCACCAGATACAATTTCTGGTTATATGGATAAAGACGGAGGAAAGATTTACTGCACAAGTAAGGTTAAAGTATGAACAAAATTGAAGGGAAATATTATTTGTACCGAGCAGTACTTCAGTTTATGGGACAGAAGTTGCTCAAACAGCTGGAAAGATTAACAGCTGTGCGCAGTTCTTCCAAACTCAGAGGAGGCCCAGGCTAAGTTCATCTAGAGTTACCCTGCTGACTTTGCAAACACATGAGCTACAAGGTCAGTGAATGCAAAACTGCACTGCATGTATATTTTTATTTTCATTTTGACTGCTTTTCAGGAGAGGCTGAGTGCACACAGGGTGGAGACGGTTTCTAGAAGTTGAATTTGTGGGTTAAGCGTTTCCTAAAACATCCGCAAAAGCTCGTGCAGTTGTTGCAAGTAGTTGTGGAAGATTCTTATGAGAGCAACTGAATAGTAGAGTCTGCCTGCAACCTGATGGGAATAGCTGTTATTCAATGGAAAAACAATGTGTTACCGAAAGGTACGAACACAGAAATTCCCGCGATCATGACTCTGCTTTTCAGAAAGACTGCTGAAAAAAAAAAGAAAAGAAAAAAAAAAGCTCAGCAAAAATAGTTTTAGACTCAGAGGCTAATATAATAGACAATGCCATGTGATCATCATGTGGCTGACGAGCACAACTAACAGAAAATGCAACATTTTCCAGAAAGCAGCATTCATTTGTGCTCATTTCTGTATTTTACATTCCTCATTTAACTTAAATTACTTGCAATGACGTACCACACTAGTTATGTTTTACTGCCTCCCTACATGGCAAACACTGTAGAGAACATGCTCAAGTCAAATATATATTCAATAAAGAACATCTAGAGCTAGATTAATGAATGTATTCTTCATTACAAAGGCAAAAATCCCATTTTAGCTCACAGCTGCGACATACATGACCTCACACACTTCACATGTAAACGTCACTCTTCTCTAAAACTCACTGTGCAGCTGCAGACAGTAGTGGGTGTATCTGTAGTAGCTCTCCATCTCCTCCAGTGAGATACACACAAACCTCTCTCCTCCATATTCCCGTTTTCCTATGAATTCCTTCATCCCGTTCTCCTCTTCCTCCACGACCACCTCCATCTCCACAGGTAGAGACGAGAATATCTCCTGCCTCCTCCCGCTCTCCTCATCTGTATTTCCAAACCCTCCCTCCCTCCCTCCTCGTCTGCCTGCGTCTCGTGCACACCTGACATTTCTTGAGTGATTACACCACTCCTGTTTCCTCCGCCCCTCCCTTCTGCTGCGAAAACCTGCGTACCTACATCTGAGACTGATATAATGTCTTGTATCATTGTTGCCACCCTAACCACTGCTAAAACAGGTAAAAATCATTGCAATATAAAGCCAAGATTTTAAAACAAGACCACATAAATGCGTCCAGCCAGGGCCTGACTGTCAGCTCAACTAAGCACAGATCTGAGTTGCTTTGTGAAACTGGGACAAGTCTCTAATCTAAGTTAGATCAAACTACAACAAATTCACAAACACTCGCGGTTGTTTGTGTTCGAAAGATTACACAGATTTTGCGGTTGCATTTTACCAGATTAGCACAGATTAGAAAAGGACCTACAAAATTTAAGGCAGAGTTAAACTGACTGAACTTGAAAAAACAAGTTCAACAAGCTTAAGACATTTAGTTGATTCAACTAGTGGCACCAACAGACTTGTTTGTACATTTTCTAAGTTACGAAGGACTATCTGTGAGACTGCTCCCAGTTACAGTGAGATAAATGATAAAGTCTTTGGGTGTAGGGACTGAATTCAGTGGTTAGCTTTGTCATAGTTCAAACTGTTTTGATTAGTATGCAAAGAAACAGCCATAACCCAATTTAACAAAGACACACAGCAAGTTTCCACCATGTCTGTTTTCTCTAATTACAAAAAATCAAAGAGTTTCTGAGGAGTTTTAACTCTAACAATGCATCCTGGAAAGTATAAGTTTATGCTAGTTTGTCTCCTACAAACCTAATTTAGTGAGTTTAGTGAACTTGCATACATCATTTAAGTCAAAATAGTTCAAAAACATACCATTTTTTAAATTAGAAATAAATTAGCAAAACTCATACATAAAGTATGGATATTTTTAATTAAACTAAAAATGACAAGTTGATTTGACTAAAGTCCTTTATGATGTTTTCCAGTGCAGTATCACCAAGTCAAATGGCATTTTAATACATAAAGAGCCTGAAGAAAATAAGCTGCTATCAAATGTCCACAAAGCCAGATTAATCATCTGACACTTCCAGTTTCTTGTGAGAAACTGCACAAATATTGATTAGGCTGTGCCGTGTGACTAACATGTGGACTTTCAACAAGCAGTGCAGCTTATTCTTTACAGAGAAAACGTGCCAGCTTCTTCTCCACACAACTCAAAAGAAACATGTTTTACGTAAAGGCAACACTCACCTTGGCTGTAAGTCTGGGTGTACTTATGGTTCTGTTTCCTTTGTGCAGGTTGGCGGCCTCGGCAAAGACTCGCAGACATGATGAATGCAAACACCAGCCCACCAGACTGCTTGTCTTTCTAATGAGTTTCTTTAACTCTGTGCTCGTCTGCCTGTTTATCTCTTATCTCGCCGTCAGCCATCCAGCTAGTGAGCAGACATTTCTCCTGCTGGTCGATTGAGACATAAGGTAAGTTATCAATTAGCCACATACAGCTAATCAGTTACTAAGGTCAAGCACCAAAGAGTGCTGCATTCAAGGTGTTTGCTATTGTGCCCCTGCTGGCCTACTGAGCCTAAAAGAATTTACAGATGTACAGTATGTATATTTACTTCTTTCCTGACTGATACACCTGCTGTTCTGGTTTGTTTAATAAGCTGTGTAGTGCACTTAAAGGTTAAAAGCAAGGTATGTAGGCATAATGCACTGAGAAAACAACTTTAAGCAATGCTTCAAATATGGATCTTTCTCCAAAGAAGTTACAAACAGATACTTCATAAAGATCTACACATTCACCACAGCTTTAAAGGTGTGCACCCAAGATTAGTGTTTGGTATCGAACCAAATGTGAAATATGGTCCCAATCTCCCCTTCTGTTCCTGAACTATGGTGTTGGAGAATTACCAGAAAAGCTTTTTTTTTTTCTGCAGAACATTATGACTTTACAGTAAAGTTAACCTTTTGGATACTAGATGTCATCACTTCACAATTCTGTGAAATTTTCTCCTAATTACCGTATAAATGCTTATGGCCACAAACGTGACTGATTTAAAATACATTTGATTGTTTTCTATTACTAATTAAGGATAGTATTGCTTTTTGTTGAACGCACAGATTGTTGACTTAAATTACTTTTCCTATTACAATCATTCAAAAAAGATGTTTTTGGTCAGATATTCTGGCAAATTCCAAAAGCTGGCCATGAGGAAAATAGGTTTGTCTTATTTCATATAGGTTTCCCGATTCCAGCCACCGCAGTGATACAGTAGCATCAGCAGCAAAGTAAATAGTCATGTTCTTCTATTATGTTCAAATAATGAGTGGGAGAAACACAGCAGGTTGGAATCTCCCTGTGCTGATAGGAAATCCTGTCCTGTCATCCTGTCACATTGATTTAAATACCAGAGACTAGACCAACAGCTAGTTAATGTGAGACTACGAGTTACACAAGCTAACAGAAGAAGAACAAAGTTTACAACTGTGCCTTTGCAAGCAGGCCATCACTAACCTCGTCTCCAGGCTGGCCGATGGCTCTGCGTTTGTCGGGTCAGCAGACTGATAGATGCAGACAGATTGTTGAGCAGTTCAGACAACACCTCCTGGCCCTCTTGAATTAACTCCAAAAGAGACATTGCCTTATTAGAGCGTGATTCATACTACATCTATGAGCTTGTCTGGAACCTTTTCAAGCGGCCTTCCCCTCTCCCTCTCCTCGATTATGCTGCTGTTTGTTGCTGGTGAATGTGTGATTATTTATCTCGCGTCACTCTGCTCTGTGTTTATCACAGGAAATAAGGGGTGGAGGGCGGGCTGTGACATAAATCCCCCTACAGCTAATTATACTAACTTGGCAAATATGTGCATTTGCGTCTGTTCTGTGTCACAAGTGGAGTATGACTCTGGATCTGCTGATGGGGGATTAAAGTGAATTATATTTATTTAATACACATATAGCATGTGTTTGAACATAAAGAAGAGGCAAGAAGTAAGTTTGCTTTACCAGCTGGGAGATGAGATGAAAGAAGTGTTACTATACCAGCCAAGGATGTGCTGATACAAGTTTTAAGACTGTCACGAGGCCTATTTTCACTTTCATTGTATCTTCAGTGTTAAATTTGCTCTGAAGAATAGTGAGAATAGTCGAACTCATGCCACATATCTTTTATTTCAGTTATAGAAGGCAAAACTGCATGCAAACTTGGATTGTTTCTCTTGGTACAAATTGTATTTTTAGTGGGGAGAGGCACATATGCTCTTTTATATATTTTACATCAACAAAAATGTCATACGCTCTTGGCTTTTTCGTAGCCAGGAAGAAACACTTCATCTTTACTTTGTCATATTTCACATTATCCATTAGGTTGTTGAGAATCCAAGCTTGTACTAAGGAGCAAATAAGAGTTTCTGATTGTGATTGTGGCACCATGAATGGAGATAAGAAGAAAACTACACCGGTGCCATCCTTAAATTACCTCTCTTAAACGTTATCATTATTTCCCTAAATTTATCGTCACACAAACGTCCCCAAGTCGAGCTTCAAAGGTGGTCATGCACTTTCTATTAACTCTGCACAATTGGATTTATTAATGAATCAAGCAGAGGAGTTACAGTCAGAAAGATCCAAACCTGTGCCCTCTGAATCTGAAACTGGCTACAAAACTAATCACGCTGACGACAAACTGAATTATCCTGGCTAAACCCATTCTCCCTTTCTTCTAAAAAATGGGGAATGAATTATACCAGGTTATACTGGTTGTATTATTTAATAATGTTACCCTTTCTTCTGGTACTATTTATGCCTGTCCTTCAAACCGCAGTGACAAAGCATTTCACCTCAGTGGAGAAGTGACTTACAGAGAGACGCAGCAGAGTTGTCTGTCCTAAAAATTGATCATCTTCTACAACCATAAAATATCATATGGGCAGATTTTGTCCTGCTTTTTGTCTGACAGATGTCCAGCCAAAATAGCTACACGATAAATGAGAAGTGTGGTTTTTTTGGTACTCCTGACACCTTTCATCACAGGAGACATAGTTCCCAGTTTTGCTAGAACCTCCTGAAAGACACCTGAGGTCAAATCCTACTTTTATCAACAACAGGATTTTTAAAATTAAATTTAAAAGCTGTGATTTGCACCATGAGATAATGTGCTACGATATTAGTTTTGACAAATTTGACCTATCAAATAAAGCACCGTGCTGCATGAACATGAAAGCTTTATGGAGCTCACAAACTTATTTCTACATCACAAATGACAGTGATTTGTGAGACAAGACACTATTTGCAATCTGCAGGAAAGCATACGCCAGCAAATTGCTTTTGTGAAATTGGCCCCAGCGGACAAACACCTGCTGCCAAGGATTCAGTACAGCTGAGGTAAGCAGGATTTTTTGGGCATCATCGGGCAAAAGCTTCATTGATAATCTTTCAGCATATTTTCATCCTAGTGTTCTGAGAGGAAACCTGACTTGTGCACATCGTCTTGGCTCTGTTTGCAGGCTGTACATAATGTGGCTTGTGAAAGGAGACTTTGGTCACTCACTGGTCTTTTCACACCAGATCAGGTGAGACAGTGGCTCACACCGCGAACTTTGATCACATAATGTACAGTCTTGATGCCATATTAAACTGATAAAGAGGTCTGTGACTACTATAAATATGCTTATTATACAGCAGAGCAGACAGCAGATATTACTTGCTTTCATCTTTTGTTTTTCCTGTGGCATCATTATCTTGTCAAGGTAATGAACCTTGACAGATCCACGCTTTGATTTAGATGATGCCTCTCCCCGCAACCCATTATTCTCACATTCTTTAAGAGACATGCTCCTCTCTTGATGTTTGTCATCACTTTTAAGTGGCTTGTGTCCTTGATGTAGGAAAAGAAGCAACTCCAGCATCAAGTGCAACAAAGTCAGCACTGGGAGTCAGACGAGGATGATGAGCAGGTTAAATGCAGAACTTTCACTCAGAAGAGTCAAGTTTGAGTCCATTGTAAGTACAGGAAACTAATGTTGACTCTTGTCTTGACTACTTTTGCATCTTTAAAGTGCATTCACTTGCTCGTGTTTGTCTGGTGGAAGGGGCTTCTGTTTTTGTTTTTTGCCTTTCCACATTCTGCAGCTTTAATACTAAGTATTAGTAGGTGACATGACATGGCCACAATGACACCAACCACTTTTTTTCCTTTAAATGAAGAGAATATTTAGAGAAGGCACATCGAATGACTTCTGTATTAAACATCCTGTGTGAAGTATTTTTAAAAAGCTGATCTCAGCAACTCCTAAAGGCAGTCACTGACAGTACACTTCCACTCTTACTGAAGCAAATCAAACCCAGGGATACTGAGAATAACTGAGCTGAGAGAAAAACGTTGACCACACGTTAAGAATTCTACATCACTGCAGCCTTTTACACTTCTTATGGGTGGCATGTTGGCAAAAACTGATTAGAAATTGTCCAATTAACAGTGAAAACCAGGTAAAGTTGACAATTACTGATTAGCATCCACATAAAACTGAACAACAGCTACCTGCCAGCCAAGTTTCTGCCAAACCCATTCATAAATTCTCCTTTTTTGTCCAGGCTTGTATTGAATCTATAAATAGCGTCGACGGAGACATGAGATGAGGGGACACATGCAATAAATGTTCCTCAACAAGAAACCGACCTCTAGATGAGATGAGAGATACAACTAAAATTACACACATAAAACAAAAATGACACCGAACAACCTTCCGGGTGACATCCTGACAGACACCACAGGGCTCCTTACCGCTGATTGTTGGCAGCACCTCCACCCCCTGCTCCACGTCTGCCGGTTTAGACATCTGTTGGCCCATCCTTGCCCCTGGACACACAAACTCAGCAGACTTTTCCTCTTCACATGTAGCTTCTAAAAGGGCACAAACGCGAAATATTACCAAAACAGCGAGTGGAGTGAGTCTACAGCTAAAGGAGACAAGCGTGCTTGAGCAGCAGACTCAGGTGGAACTGCACAGCAAGAATAATGAGAACAGAAACCGACTGATGCGCTGTCCATTTAATTTGGTCAGCAGCGTGCACGGAGGGAGGGGAGGAAGGAAGAGACACACAGGCCGCCACTGAAGGCAGTTTTGCAATTGCGTAACACTTAACAACATCCATGCCTCTGTGTACCAATCACACACTCCTGTCCTCGGTGGTGTTAACAACATTACCGACGCCAATTTTATCTTTTGAACAAAGTGAGCTATGCTGCAGTTTATCTTAGCATTTGGACATGACAACTCAGGCCAACCTGTAGATTCGTGATAAAATTGAATTTTCCGTAAGACATACTCGACTGGAGCACCATCTTCTGCCATTGAGTACATAAAATATGCTGCTAAAATGCTTTGAAATGATTCTGTGGAAAGTCTGGAACACTATTTGTCTGTCTAGTATCTGTGCCAACATCTGTCCAGCAGTAAAGGCCCAATCCGTAGATATTTAACCAAATATATTACAGGTATATTTACATTTAATGTAAGCCTCTTGTTTATTTTTCAGCTCTTTTAAACTCTAGGATAAATGTGAGGATTCAGTCAATCCATTTAACCATGATATCAGATCAAAATCTGACCCCAGTGATGGCAAATTCTTAATTTTGAGTTGATTTCTGGCACGTGAGAAGCCTAAACATCCAATGTGTCCTTACATCATGGACTCTCTTTCACACACACACACCTGATAGAACAATCAAAGCAAATTTGACCAGTTCCCCTTCCAATTACCAGTTCCCCCGACAGTGGCTCCCTTTCATTGCTTTGACAATAGAGCAGCATGCCCTTAGTCATATGGACTCAGATCTTGTGACGTGGTGATATGCCAGGCTAAATAAAGACCGAGCCGAGCTTCGCATGCAACACAATGTGACACTTTTAACAGCCAAGTTCACAGATGTAACCGAGGGGATGTCCAGAGCGCATGGAAATACAGGAGTCAACAGATTTCAACAAGTGTTTTCCAATGAATCAAGCTCACTTTCAATTTCAGTTTGCTGCAAATCTACAGACCAAGGACAGAAGAACAGACACTGCTTTTCAAACTGTACACCTGCATGTCATGGAAAATAATAAAGAACAACACAAATATGGAAATAACATCCAAACACCACACACATGAATGTAGTTCTGCATCATGGACATGGTGAAGGACATTTAGAATTGAATGATCATGTGTTGTGCACAAATGGAAGGACTTGGCTGTGTGCTTGTGCTCACACTGTTACATAACAAGGCGGATAAAATTAACACCAAAAATTTATCTCGTTTTTTCAAAACCTTCCTATTTTTGGTGTCACAGGCAAAGTTTCAACAAGTGTTATTTACAACTCCCAAATCAGAACTTATTTACCTGACCAAATATGACACATCCATACTAAAAAAAACTACAGTATTTGCGAACAAATTCTACTTAACATCGACTTATAAAGACGCACATTTCAATAAAGTGTCGACTTTTGCGCATTTTTATCTCACTGTGCACTAGAAATATTGTACATGCCACTCAAATTTACAGGCCGAATTGTCAGTTGAACTATATTTACTAAGAATGTCGAAGAAAATAATCATGTGGCAAGTGCAGTTTTTGTAAGTCGACGTGAACACAATTAAGTCGCAGATTAACAATTGAATTTGGCGTGGCAGCGTCTCCACAACAAACCTTATGGTTCCGTAAAGCACAGAGCTGCGCTGCCTCCGTGCGTCCTTTTAGGAAACTACACTGAAATGTCACTTGAGGATATTGCTGCACCATAAACTGATGTCGACTCTGTTGTGTTCTTCGGGTATTTTGTGCATCAGATTACTGCGTCTTTTACCTGCACGCTGTCCTCAAGCCAGCAGCTCCGCCTCCACTCAGCCAATCAGCTGGACGCACTGCACTGCTGCCTCCTCGTCTTCCTGTAGGAGGACATCATGGTTTGTCTCTTCCTTTCCCATTGTCATTTTCACTGAAATGTTATTATAAATATTATTTTATGACTTCAACCAGGGTTTACATCGGTTTGTTGTATGTACGCTTTAAGACCACTGGGAGGCCCCAGTGATGCATAAACTAAATCTATTTTCAAGATTCCTTCTCTCTCAGACAAAGTGCATCAACAGTCAGTGCAAAGATCTGCATTAAATCTATTATATGTGAAATATTTGCTTAAATTTCTCAGATTCATTTTGATAGGACGATATGTCTTCTAAAGACAAATATCAATTATGTAGTGAAAATGGTTTAAGTTTATAAAGAAGCTCACACAAATACCAAAGTGGAGAAACAACCAATTTTACTATCTGTGTTGCAGAAAACGTATCAAAGAATAAAATTTGATACAGGAAAGAGTGATCGCTGCACATGTTACAACCATGGAATATTTACTAATGAACAGTTCAGCATTTGGCACATATATATGAACATGCAAGACACTTTTTACTATTTGTTTTTGCCATCTACCCTTTAATGACAGATATTAGGAGAGGTAGAACAAAAACTAAAAAGGATTACATTTGATATGATGTGAGGTTCTCGGCTGGCCTTGAATCAGGACCACAAGAAGGCCTCATCCATCTGATGTGATGACCCTGAAGTGGCTCATAACAGCAGTTTTAGTCAGATATATAGTTTGTGTTAGATGCTTGGATTAATCCAACATGTTTAAAGATCATACTGCAACTGTGACAGATATTACAACTGAGTCTCGATGTACCAAACAAACATGTGACTGTATGTCTAAAAAGTAGGATTTGTAGGTTGGTGGGGGATTTCTGCAACATCACAGCACTTAATATATAATGGCATGTTTTGACACACTATACCTTTACCAAAAAACTGCAGCTCCTGCAATTTTCTAATTGCACTTTGATATATTTTAATAGTATTTCGATGAATTGTCCAGCCCTATTATGTGTAGTTCTCTGCAATATCTCCAAAACTTCCAGCGCAAACTAATGCACTGATGCATACTTCCAGAGTGGGGAGCTCTGCCACTGACTAAGCCTATTTAAAGATACAAAAGACTAGAAGGTTCTGCAGATAATGCCACACAATAATGGAACCGTACTGTGGGTGCAATTTGAATACAGTCCTGAACCACCTACATATTCACGGGTTGACTGGTATAAATCACCCCTCATACACCTCATGGCACGGTGCATGCCCCATACCTATCTTACGTACGCTCCTGGCTGCTGACAGCCATATTGTACATCTCTACAATTAGCTGTGTCGAGTTTGCGACAAAAACTACATACACGGCCGGGAAACTGTTTTTTTCCTTTCAAAATAAAACAAAACTCAGAAACAATGTAGTGTGTTTGCAGCAGAGGAGATTGCAGTCTAATGTTTTTTTAAATGTTTTTTTGTTTTTGTTTTCTTTACCAAAAATAGCACTATTTACCCCAATTGTTCCACCCCTAACTGTTCATAGTTCTTTTTCCCCCCCTGTCAGTGTATACGAGCGAGAAAATCACTAAAGAAATGGTTGCCATGTTAACTAGCCCAAAAAACAGTTCATTACAAGGGTCCAAGAAATGCAACCCTGAAAATGAACCTTCCTCTGCTGCTACTCACTAGAAATCATGCAATTAAAGTTTGAACTCATTGCAAAAGTTAAACTAAACTGTTCAAAACAGTCTGCTGTTGTTTCTTTTACATATATGACTATTGATGGGGTTTTGGAGGACTTTTCAGAATGAGTTACTGCTTCACCTGTCTTGATATTGTTGTGCTGTGCTAATGGTTTTCATTTACCTTTTATTTTCTGTTATGGTATCATTTTATGTCTTAGATATTTTGTATTTTATATTTTTATATTTTATTTTCCCATGATTTGTCTCTTCCTGCTGTTTAGTCAATCAGCTTTAATTATTCTACAAAAGATGTGTGCACTTCATTCTCCTGGCCACTTGTACTTATTAATTTAGTTTTTATCTAATTTTATCCAGCTGTTTTTTTGTTTTTTTTTTTTAGATCTTTTACATGGTTTAATTGTTTTCTATCTTGCCTATAAAGCACTTTAAATAAAAAGTGAGTAGTAAAAAAAAAGTACAATTTTTATTTCTGGCCTTTTTTTGTCCTAATATTGTTCTTGTCTTGTCATGGCTTCAGTTTACTTTTTTCCCCCTTTCCTCACTTTTCCATCAGGCTTTTACGCTTAAAGTTGAAACCGGAAGTCGTGGTATTTCATCACGGCTGACTTGACGCCTGCGCCCCCAAATCCCCTTATGGCTGTTTAGACTTCAACGGTTCTTCTATGTCTGCGGGAATTCGTCTCGGTAAACGCGCAAAGAGACGAGGAACGGCACCGAGGACGGTTTTTTTCGTCGTCAACATTTAATTTCATGTGAAGAGACCGGACGCTTCTATCGATTTAAAGCCACACATCGACCCCCGGTGAGTCGCCTCTCCCTAAAAGAGGAGCTTCTCTTCAAGTTTGATGCAATAGCGGATATCCTCGTGTTCGACCAGTTCATATGTCATGGAAAGGGCGACTTGTGCCAAATTGAACCCCTTAAACCGCCTCTTAACGCATTTTATGTAGCTTTAAATTATAGTTTTTTCATAAATGGGCCATTTTTGGTATCAAATGTGGCAAACTAACGACCTTTTTAGAGGCGTTAAAACTTCCCCGGTGTGAGCGAGGCAGACCTCGGGGCTCGTCCCGTTATGTAGACTACACCCACTAGCTTCAAATAGCAGCTTCTCAACGGGCCACCTGAAAACTATTTTTGAAATATAGCGGCTAACGTCGGTGTGTTGTCGTGCTAAACTCCAAGAAAAGGCTTATTTTAACGCGTCAAACGTATGTATTCTAAATTTTCTACCGTCATGTCAAAGTGTTGAAGCTAACGTTTTCCCCAGAGTGTATCGGTTGGTGTTATTTTTAGTCAATTTGTGGTTGAATTACAGTGTCATGGACTCGGCGGGTAAATACTCAAGCTAATTGCTTACAAGCTACAAGTGGGCATGTGTCCGTGTGGAGTACAAACGCTACAGCTCAGTGGGGTTTTTTTTGTACAAATTCTCTTAAACTTTTATTCACACACAGTTAACCTTTAGAGCCACAATTATCGACCTGTCGAGAGGATTATACTCGCATTTTATATTCTCTTTGTAATTCTTCTTTCTTCCATTTCCAAAATGGAGTAGGGCAGTGCATTTGGATGCTGAATGTCAAAATATTTTTTTGTGCTTTCTAACCAAACAATAACAGAGAATGTCATTCATTTACAATGAAAGTAGCCTAATGCTAAGTTGTATGAGACCAGCTCTGCACGCCACCTCAAAATGTCAATATTACAAGAAGTGCATTATGTATGGGTCAGTGTTCAGCCTTTAGGTTAAGGGTTTATCATTTCACGTATGTCATAGAAACACGTGTTTTAAGACTTGAGCCTCACACAGGAACTTTATATTTTAAATCCTGATTTTGGAGGCGCTTTAAACTCTGTGTGTGTCCAGATTGTGTCCTTTACTTTGTGACGAAGAGAAGCTCGAATTGATGAAGTTACAGTCCTCATTACTTGGCAAAGTATATGCATATAGTGTGATATGTTTGTGTACTTGTATCCACTAGTTTTCAGGTTAAAAATCTACCACATCCTCTCCACTCAACCACACTTATTTTAGTATTATTTTCAAACAGGACAGATGCTGCTCAAACAGAAGTGCTATGTGAAATATAATAAGTAGAGTATGTTTAGATAAGAAATAGACCCATCAAAGCATCCTCATTGCATTAAATGTACTTTAGCAAGACCGAACCAGTTGTAAATAATAATTTAATTTCTCCATTCAAGCTGATTGTGGTGTGTTAATGTGACAGTCACATTACCATCACACCATGCTGGAGGTCCCAGATGTGACATGTCCATACAAGAGAAACTGTTCGATCTTTAAAGTATCATATTACAGTTCAACACGGGTCATTACCAAACTATTTCCCCCTTGTGCTTCTAGTACAACATACATGTTGCACAAAACACGACATGGAAAACAGTAAAAATCCATAATATCAATGAGAGAAATCAGATTTTCTTGTGTCCTCCAGCTTGACGAGTCCTCAGTAGCTCAATGAGAGTTTGCAGTCTGAATTGAGACATGTTTGGCTGGACGTCACCAAGAAAACGATTCTTAGATAGTATTATATAAATTGTAGTCTGATGACTTAAGGGAGCGCAAGCAATGATGAAATACAAATGGTTGAAAAAAAACATGTTGTCATACAAGCCGTTTCATTAACTATAATTAGTGGTGATCATTTTACAGTTTCCCATGAGTCATTACATAATGCCTTGATTGTATTTTAGTCTTCTCTTCCACAGAAATCCTGTTTAAAGTAGTTCCCCCCCTGTACACTCTTGCAATAGTTACCGTATGTGCACTTAGCAAAGTGGTAATGCATGGTGGGATTGAAAGCAAAACCACTTCTCTGGGCCTCTGGCTGTTTGGGGTTTCTGTGCCTTGTAGTCATTAACAGATTTAGGAACGGGATTCATTTCAGCTCTTTTTTCTTGTCAGTCTTTGGGGTACTCTGCTTTTTCTTTGTCGTATGGGCGTTTTAGTTCCGCTTTCATAAACCTTCACGTTAAATTTTTCTGATTCATTTATTGTATTTTCCATTTCACAGAATTTCTGGATTGACAGACAGATTTAAAACAATGTTTGCTTAATCCCACAGTTAGTCATTGAAATTAAACGTGTTTTCTCTTGTCATATCATTTTGAAAAAGAGTAAACTTAGGCAGCTGCTCACAGTGTTCCACCCATGTACGTTGTATAATGAATGGAAAAATGTTTTCTTTCACTTTCAGTTCCTGTGACACAGGTGTTGTTGCCGTCCTGTGACGGATTTATCCTCTCAGCTGTCGGGTGTAAGGAGGAGAGGAAGCAAAGATGCCGAAACCGGTAAGAGACTGAAAGAAGCTTGATGGCAGGTGACATTATGCTGCATTTTACAGATGTGTACAGAAGTGCAGTGCAGAGGGGAAGAAACCAGGAAAAAAAAAACACTTTAGTTCAGCACTTTCCTTGGTAATTGATTCAGAATGCTTGATGAAAAAATGGAGTTGGTTTAGAATATACGATATGAATCAGAAGCATGAAAGTTGCTTGTTTGTTCCTGTCTGGTCTGCTTGTATAAACTGACTCCTTAGAACTGCTCTGTAGTTGTCATAATAGTTAGCATGCACTGCTGCCCAAAGCTACATTTGAACGTTCTGGGAAGTGGCAGTTTCATCCCCATGGCTGCTCCCACTCCTCCTACTCCTCTTCCAAGTAAACAACAGCCAGAGTGTGAAGTGAACTGCCTGGCCCACAGGCCCTGCAACTGCAACACTGCTGCCATTGTTGCTTAAAGGGTGGAGAGAATGCCAGAGTCCTAGGATGTGAACAACGCCAATACAAAACCAATTTGATGCAGTCCCTTCATGGCTGTCTGCTTCCCACTGTTGTCATGCTAGTTTTTCACTATGAACAGAATTATGTAAAGCACATGAATGAGTCTGAAAGTACAGCATGTTGCACAGTTATACAACTTATATACAATTAGAAGACGTGTATGATTCAGGTCCACTCCGCATGCATTGAACCATTTCATGAGGCAGCTGTCACGCTGCTTCTCTGTGTTAACAGAAACTGTAGTCTGCAGTGTAGCTCTGTACGCTACCGATAAATCTGAGAGTTCCAGTAAATTCCATTTATTGATTCCCAAACAAATATTGAGCTTCAGTTTCAACGCCATGACACTGAGGCTGCAACTAATGGTTATTGTCATGATTATTTTCTTGATTAATCGATTAGTTTTGTGGTCTATAAAATGTCAGAAATTGGTGACAACTGTTGGTCAGTGTTTCCCAAAGCCTAAGATAACTTCTTTACATGTATTGTTTTGTCCACAATCTGCACAACTGTTCCTGTCTGAAAAGAGCAACAGTTGTCCCTTGGCAGGAGGAGATTGTGTCTGTAGTACATTGGTGTCTATCGGGTTTGTTACTCTAAGCAATCAAATAAATATGACAGCTGTTTTTAGTCATTTAGCATTTTTAGACGACCAATTCTGGTTTCCTCAATTTGACACAAAGCTTATGTTACCAATATGTTTTTCACATGGAACACTTTTAAGTTCAAGCTACTGATGCTTGCATCAGAAACTTTCCAAGGAACTGGGAACAACAGGCCTCAGGCCACACCACAAGTGAAGCACATCTCCTGTCTAGCTCTTTAGGTGGTGGGTGTTTGTGTGTCTGTGAGAGAAGGGGTTTGGGTAGATGCAGAAGAGGAACAGCCAGGCACTGATGTCATCCTCCACTTCCCCCTCTTGTCCCCTGAGTCACCAGGGCACCATCCCAAAAACAGCTCGTAGGACGGCACAGAGCAGGCCGCTCTGCTAAGAGCGACGTTTGTGTCACAGACAATATCTGACGGAGAAAGTACAGCTTGTCGCGGGGAGGCACTGACATAATAAACAGAGGAAGCTAGAGCAGGGTCCATCAGACATGACCTTCTCTGGGATTGGTGCCAGACATTAAAACTTTCGGAACAGCCTCTTATGTCTGAATGTCACTATCTATCCATAGTCAAGGCATAAAAACAGTCACAAGGTTGAGTAACAAAGAGTTTGTCGAGCTCGAGGGAAGGTTACTGAATTTGCTTTTCAGTTGTGTTTTTGCAATAATAACAAGAACTTAGCAGATTTTTAAGGCTTCTTTTAAAACATGGTTCTTGTTCACAGTAAGGGTTTTACAGCCAGCCCTCTGGACATCCTGTTCAGTTCTGCTTTAAGGTGGAGTTGTCACAGCTTTGCTTTTGCCGTTGCATAGTTTTGCGATTGTGTGAACAGTTTAGGATGTGGTAATATAATAAATCGCTTTAGTAGAATGTCAAAACACACACAAATGAAATTGTCTATTGGCTATTGGATTGGCAGCGAAGATATTTGAAGTTTCTGTAAAAAAACAATAATATATCATTGTTATGGCTGTAACTGACCACTATTTGATCATTTAATCTGGAAGAAATATGTGGCTGAAAATGCTCCTCAGCTTTACAGGGCCCAGTGTGACATCTTCAAACAACTTACCTTCATTTTAAATGATTAAAATCAGATAAAATCAGTACATTTGAGAAACTGAAACCAGCAAATATGGATTTTTTTTTTCCTTGACAGATGATTTAAATGAACTATTGCAGCTTGTCTGGTTGAATAATCAGCTAATCACTTCAGTCGTGATGCTGTTTCTTTCATTTTCCCCTCACTCCATTTGTTTTTTTTTATCATGCAAATAAGTCACTGACAAAGCAAGATTCAAATACAATTATTTAAAACCTTAATTGTATGGTTGAGGTTAAAATAATTACACTGACGTTCAAGGTGCAGCATGGCAACTTAAGACAGTCTTACATAAATACAAGGCCCTTCAGCAGCTGAAGTTTAAAGCAACTTGTATAAAAAAAAATGTCCAGACTATTGATGATAGCCCTTGTCCAAATATGTGCTAAAAACTGAACAAAAGATGAGTTTTGTGTGCAGTGTTGTATAATGAGAGTAGCCAGATTGAGGCAGTGTCCTGGAAGGTACTTTATTACTGTTGCACTGACATTGCTGACTGCAGTAATTTTTCTACACTGTTGTTCCACCAGTCGGCGGGGTTTACATCCAGAGGGACAGGAAAGTCAGTCTTTTTCTTTCTCCAGTTTTGACTGAAAGTGTCTATGCTTTGGTATATTGTATGCCTGAGAGGTTGATTGGTACATGTCTATTTTTATACATGAATTCACTTATCACGAATTTGACACTGGCATTCCTATCTGATGGCATCAACATCAGTGTGGATAAAACATAGGAGATGTGCTCATTTATCCTGATACTAATATTCTAACCCTGCTGTTTGGTGCACCCAGTGGGCTGGGGGTGCAGGGGAATTATGAGGTGATAGGAAGAGGGCCCTTGCTGGCTTCCTAGCTTGTGGCTATTTTCCTGTTTGCTGGAGAGGGGGCCAGCTGTGTACTTTGGGGGCCTGGTCTATGTCAACATCCTGGCTCTGTGGAAGTAAAGGAGCAAATTGTACAGAGAGAAATATCAGCAGATGACTGAGGGTCTGTCAGGGAGGGAAGCAGTCAGAAAGATGAGGGAACATTTTGGGAATAAAAGATAAATGAGTGGGAGAAGTTAGGGATGTAGGAATTTATTGCCGTGGTCAGGGGATTCTCCTCAGGAACTTTAAGAGATGGGGAAGCAGTGGGGGTTGCGGAAAGAGAGGAGTTGGGACACTGGTGCAGGGAAACACCTTTTGCCAGTTGTGTTTGACCTTTCACCTCATTTATTACAAGTCAAGTCCACAGTCAGGCAGAACAGGGCCCTCCTTTCCCCACCCTATCAGTATGGCACCGAACTGCTTATGGATTTATTTATTTTTGTCTTCTGCAAGAGACACTCCCCACACGACACTCACCTGGTCTTCCCCCAAAGGATGAATGTTTGCGTTCGTAGTGGTGATTCTTTATCGGCTCTCACCTCTCCTTCCATGTCTTCTTCCCTCTGAGGATGGCCTCACTCTGCAGGGGGGTTAATCAGTGGGACAGACAGTTGCTCGGAGCCCAGCAGGCCAGATTAGCGGCTCTACTGATTGAAGTGTGTGTGTGTGTGTGTGTCTTAAGACCTCTCTCAGCAAAGCTCCTCTAAACAGCTTACAGGAACTAAACAGCTGCACATTTAACAAGGGGCCCGTTTGAGTGAGAACTCGTCTTCGCAGCTGAAATGGAGAGGGGGATTTAGAAACATCCCCAAATGGCATCCCTAAAAGAACAAAAAATATATACATTTTCTGGCCATTGGACTTGACACAGCTTGCACGCTAAGTGAGATACTTGTTGGGATTTCACACTAGCTGGCCTTACTTGTTGTTCTATACCCCTCACAACACTGTGGTGTTGTAGAGTCTTGAACTAATGCAAATTGAAGTCTGTTTAGTGCAGAGATCTCCAACTCCGGTCCTCGTGAGCTACTGTCCTGCAGGTTTTAGGCATTTCCGTACTGTAACACACCTGACTCAAATTAATGGATCGTTAACAGACTTGTGTAGAACTTGACAACAAGCTGTTGGAGATCCATTAATTAGAGTCAGGTGTGTTGCAGTACGGAAAAACCTGCAGGACAGTAGCTCACGAGGACCGGAGTTGGAGATCTCTGGTTTAGTGACTGTGCACATGAAGGTAGAAGAGAAAACTTTCAGGTTATTTAAATATGAGGTGACACATCATGAAAAATAGTCTTCACTTTCATGGTTGAAGTTAGAAGTTGAGGAGGAGGAAGGTGGAAACAGTGGGGGGAAAATTGGAAACCAAACCAATGAATGCAAATCAGGCTTGAAAGTTTTTGCATTGAGATTGTGCTTCAATGTTCTGTGATGGGAGATGGACATCAAGTTAACTACAGTGTCCAGTGGTTGCAGCTGTGTCACATTTTAACTCTGTTCAGGCTGCCAGTCTTTGTGTCACGTCTGCTTTTTCTGAAAAAGCTTTAGTCTTTTAGGTCTGGCCATGAACTTAAAATTCATGTTTAATGAAACATTTAATTATCTCATAGTCTGTTTAAACACATAGGTGAAGCTGTTGCTTTTTACAGGAAGTTGAAAGAGAAAACTGAAAAAGAAGAAACATCGAAAGAAAGTCTCTAAAACGCTTCCACTACACATTGGAACTGCTTCTGAAGTTTGTCAGACCGATGCCAAACAGGAACTTTACTCCTTAAGTGGATATCCAGTGTTACGCTAATTTTAGGGTTTCATTGTGCTTTTAGGAATTTTTAAAGCTTCAGTTCACATGATGCCTGCAAGGCCTTCTCATGTGGTGGCATTAAACAGGCACACCTCGATTTGCAGGTTGCGTGTCCTGTTGAAGTTTGTAAA